AACAGAATGGGTTTGCTTTGGTTAGTGTTAAGGTAGGAAGGTCAAGAAATGAAAAGAGAAATAACGTTGCTCAGTCTAGAAGACTCCTAGAGTTGATGTCCACACTAATGATGTTATGGTTCTCATTATATTTTAGCAGCAGTCCTGGATCTGGACTACACTTGAACTCATATTAGATTGACCTGGATCCAAAGGATGTCTGAACTACTGGGTGGAACTGTCACTTCCCCTAAAAGTTTGTGTTTCTTTCACTATAGGACAAGGGATGCTGATTGGTAAGAACAACCACTTCTCTCGCTTTTAAAGTTATTGTTGTTGTTAAGTAAGACCAGATAGATAATCCTATATTTATATTTGGGATACATGTGTGTATTTGTATTTGTACATGCTTGTAATGTGGGCATGGTTAATCTAATTGTCACAAAATACACATTCAAAAGGAAAGAGGCATATCTTCAACTCATTCTGATGAGAAAACGTTGAAAATGTTTGGGCTTGGAGAAGAAAACCCAGTTCAAACCATTTCCAGAATTCTTGTTTTGACTCATAGTGATCCCCTATAGGGCTCCCAAGGACGATTGGTGGTTTGAACTGCTGACTTTTCAGTTAGCTGTCCAGTGTTTATGCTACAGCATCATGTCAGGACTCTTTAAAATTTATTAGCATTTTCAAAATTTGAATTAAGGAAGCAGCAAAGTGGTCCTCAAAACATCAGATTGTCCATAAATGTATCTGCTTGAAAAATTTGGAAGTAAAACTAAAAAGTTAAGCAGAGTGACATATTCAAAAGATGAGGTCAGATAGACCAGATTACTATTGAATTAGCCATGTGCATACAAATCTACATTGGAAAAATGCAGCCAGAATGCTCCTCAGAACTGAAGATGGTGAGAATTCATCTCTTTCACTTTGAGATAGTATCAGGAAGGACCAGTCTCTGGAGAAGGACATCATGCTTGATAAATAGATGGTCAGTGAAAAAGAGGAAGATTCTCAATGAGATGGGTTGACCAAGTGACTGAAACAATGGGCTTCAGCATGCAGATCTCCTACTTTGAGGATGACACAGTTCTAAGTAACATTTCTTTGTGTTATATGGAGGGTTGCTGTGAGTAGCAACCAACTCTGTGGCAGCTAACAACCACAACAATCCAGACCGATATTTATCTTTGGGATACATGTGTGTATTCGTATTTGTACATGCTTGTAGTATGGACATGGTTAATCTAATAATTACAAAATGCACATTCAAAAGCAATGAGACATATCTTCAACCTATCCTGATGAGAAAACTTCAAAAATGTTTGGGCCTGAAGGACAAAACCCTGTTAGAACTGTTCCTTCCAGAATTCTTGGAAGACTATTCTAGTTTGACAGAATAATTACAATTCAGGAAAAAGGAAATGAGTCTAAGGAGAAACCAACACCTATGGGTTATGTTCTGAGATGATAGGTAGAAATTTCAGAGATGAAGGTTTGAAGCAAGGCAGAAAAGTATGTATGAAAGCAAGAGATTGAATTTGGGATTTGGAGGTGGTTCTGGCAAGGGGGCATCTGGCAAAGATTTAATGCTTATCTGCCTTACCTTGGCCTATAAACAAAGTCATATTTAGTGAACTGCTGTAAATAATTTCTCTCACATGTACTAGTTCTCCTTAATTCTGTTTTTCTTCAGTTAAATCTGTCATGCAGTAGTATTTTATTGTCAAGAAAGTAAAAGGTTGTGCTATAAAGAAAAATAAAATATTCCTTTCAACTAGATTCTTAAATTGCCTCCTATAAGGACCATTTTCTAAAACAAAATTAGCTTCTTAAGATAAACCAATTTTCTGTTTTACATCCCATTTAGAGAACATAATAGGTATAAGAGGGAGGTTGTGTTTTTGTTGGAAACATAAGCTTTTTTTCTTTTTGACTTAGTGAGAAATCATTTATTCTTCTAATTTATAAGCATATTTTACATATTCTAGTTAATACATCAAATGTATAATATAGGATTTCTCTTAAGAATGCTAAGACCACACATGTTAAACTCAGCTAGCACATTGTATTAGGCTATTAGACAAATGCCACTTTTAATATCACAACACATACATATGATAATTCTTTCATTGACAGAGGAGCATGCTTTTCAAAAATATTTTATTGGATGAAACTTTCTTATTCTCAGGAAAACTTTTAGTTCTTTAATATAATTTATTATGCCTTTTAAAATTCTGTTTGATAAAAGCATTGGTACATTATAAATACCTGTAAAGAAAATATAGTTTAAAATTTTGAGGGAAATATTTTATAAGTTGCCTCTTTTACATTTGACCAAAAACCTACACAGGCACTAAGAAGGATACAATAAAAATATTTTATGTCTGAACAATATACTCCAGTTGAAAACATTCAAACAAGGATTTTATGTAAATATTAAAGCTTCTCTAGAGTAAACCTTTGGCTACAATCCAATGAGTTGGTTGGGATTTAACCAGGAAAAGGTACCATTAGGAAGGGTTACATGACAGTTTTATACACAGACTGATGCCTTTTTTTCCGCAAAATGACCAGTGTGGCCTAGAACTACCAATCTTTTGGTTAGTAGTACACTATGTTATCACTGTGCTATCATATCTCTATCAGTAGATTAGAAAAGGGGGGAAAGAAGTTTTAGCCCCAACTCTTTCATTGTTGTCATTTACCGACCTTTCGAGGTCTCAGTTTTGGTGTTTTATTTGAAAAGTAAGCTCATAACAACTCTCGTCCTTTTTAGCTTTAACACCTTTAATGTGCTCCACTCTTCAAAATTGTATGCGACACTTAACATCAAATGATATTTGAAATGTTAAAGGACAGAATAATCCTGCATTTCTTTTAGAAGTGCATCTATAAGCATCATGGGTTGTTGTTGTTAAGTGTTATCAATCTGATTCCAAATCAGAGCTACCCTGTCTAGGGTTTCTGAGGAGTGGCTTGCGAGTCTGAACTGCTGCCCCTGCAATTCAAACCTACCTTGTGGTTGAGTTTTTATGCTCCAGCTCCATGGTGCTGCTCTGAAAATAGCTTCAGTCTGTGTATGCTCAAATGGTAGAGTAGGGGTGAAAGTTTATTTTACCAACCATACTTAAGCCAAAACAGGTGAGGCTTGTGTGCTCGTCCTGGACCAGTTGAATAGCTCATGTGGTGTTATGAAGCTCAACATTTGTGGAAGAATTGTCAGCAGCAAACTAAATGGAAGACTGCCAGCATTGTAAATGCCTGGAGCCTTTGAGAGGATGTAGACTGGGAGGTTAAGAGGTGGACAATAAATGGATTAGTATAAATGAGCACCTCTCTAAGATGAGATTGAATGAGTAAAACTAGATTTCAGAGCTACTTTCGAGGGTCTAAAATGCTTTTGTTTTCTTTTTCTGTTTTCCCTATAAATGCAACAAAATCAACAAGATCATGGCATACTCTCATCATTATTGATGATTTTAAAATCCCATTTAAAGGAAGTTGACTGTCATTTCAGATTTGTTGATTTTTTTCTTCCCTTAGTACATTTATACTTTGTGTCCAATTCATTTAGTACGTTGTTGTTGCTGTTGTTAGGTGCCATCAAGACAGTTCCGACTCATAGTGACCCTGCATAGGATTTCTGAGGAGTAGCTGGTGAATTTGAACTGCTGGCCTTGTGGTTCAAACTGACCTTGTGGTCCAGCACATTATCCCACAGCCCCAGACCAGGACTCCACAAGAGTACATAAATCAAATGCCTATAGGATTCTGACAGCAAGTACCATGGAACAAAGCTCTATGGAGTTCTTAAGCCTAATAAAGCAGATGACTCAGTGCCAGTCATCTGTTGCCATGAGGGAATATGGGCTCACAAACTAGGCATTCATCCAAAATTACATTCTTTCAATATTAACTCAAGTTTTTAAAAAGCATCGAATAGGTCAAATCATGAAAACCTACCTGAGCAAAAAATGGGGCCTGTAGGTTAAGGAGTGAACTCTCAGTTTCAAAGATTGAAAATAAGCAAAGCAACAGAAACCTGCTCAAATGAACACAATTTGAAAAAACAAAACTTCCTAGTGGTTCTCATTATGAATATTTCCCCAAGATCACATCGGTTCTCTTATTATAAATTGTTTCCTGCTTATTGTTTTTTAAAAGCATAATTAGGAATTTGCCAAGTCCCAAGTGTAAGTTTGTTCAGAGAAAGTGGTGTACATTAGTTCTCTCAATATTTTGTTTGTGGTTGAGAAAGGAGACTAATTAGGGAAACCAGAAGAAAGGGGAAAGAGAGAACGACCCAAGCAAACAGCATGAGACACAACCACCTTCAATCCATGGAACCATCTAGATGGCACACTCATTTGAAAGGACTGTTCTATAGCCACTCAGAGATAATGTAGACTCCAAGGTTTGTTTCCTGGGCTAAGTAATCCAACTTTCCCATCAGATGGACACTAACTGGATGAGTAGTGTTTTGGTGTTGAAAGACCTGGCGTGGGGGTGGGGTATGGATCTATAACTAATTGTAAAATCTTTCATTATAGATTTTTCCAAAACCTTCCCTGGCATCAAAATTTGATGAGTACTATGACAAGAAGTTCTAGTAGTGCAATAGTTAAGTGCTTGTCTGCTAATAGAAAGGTTGGTGGTTCAAACCCATCCAGTAGTTTTACAGGATAAAGACCTGGTTTTTGCTTCCATAAAGATTATAGCCTTAGAATACCCTCTGGGACAGTTATGCTATGGTACATGGGGTCAATAAGTTGGAAGTGACTCAATGGCACACAACAACAATGACAAAGACAGGGATCCCTAGGTGGTACAAAGGGTTAATACACTCAGTTGCTAGCTCAATGTTCCCTGAGGTGCCTCTGAGGACAGACCTCACAACCGACTTCCTGAAGTTCAGTCACTGAAAATCTTATGGAGCACAGTTCTACTCTGACAAACATGGGGCCATCAAGAGTCAGGGCCAACTTAATGGCAACTAAAAACAACAACCTATCAAAGGTAGGGAACAAGCTATTGGCGCGATTTCTTTCTCTCATTCTTTGAACTTTAGGTTTTCACATTAATTGATTGTCCAGGCTTTGTTTTCTTTCTTTTGAGAAATGAAATGAGGGGGCTCAGGAAGGCATTCTATTATGGTGAGGATGTTGTATGAACTGCACTCCCAAAAGAACAAAACACTCTACGTGTTCAGGCAGTGAAGACACATTTTAAAGAGCTATGATCACTTCAGGAAGTTAGATTTTCCACTTGAGCTCATCCCCTTCAAATGTACAATTTGGGGAGAAAAGGGGAAAATATCACAAAGAATCAATGACAAAACAACCACATCAGACAAAGGCAAAAATCTAAGGGAAATGAAGAAGCATGAATATATCCACTTCAGGACCACATTTCAATTTTCCTCATTCAGGATGTCCACTAGAGCTTGGAGCAGCCGGTCATCTCTGTGCTTGTAAGATTTTGTGTTATAGAACACGTCGACGTAGTCATTGTACAGACTGTCCTCAGAGTCTCTAAGCTGGGAAGGTTTGTTCAGCTTTTCCAGGGCTTCATAGAAATTTTTGTAAGGGATGGTAAGCTTTACATTTGGAGACTTCTTTGGCAATTGCTTTGGGGATGGGCTTTTGCTGAAAGCGCTCTGTAGAAGCCGCAGCATAGCCTCGGAAGGGGCTCCCTTTGCCATCTCCTCCTGTTTGTCCCCCACACTGCTGCTGCTAGAACTTTTTACCACCAATGACTTCTCCTTCAGGTTCTCTGGTGTGGGCTGTTCCTGCAACACAGAATGCCACCGACAGAGGGAAGATGGCTCATTATTTATTCATTGACAATCGAGCTGCATTCTTAGTGTATGCCCACTTAGAGGGTCCCTAAGGGGCAGTCTGGAGTCCTGGTGTGGCGCTGTGAACTAATGCATCAGACTGCAAAGACATTTTGAACTGCAAGGTTGGTAGTTCAAGCTCACCACCTGCTCCTTGGAAACTCTACACAGGGTGGCTATGGGTCAGAATCGACTCAATAGCACTTAACAACAACAACAAGGGGCAGTCTGGGGTGGGAAAAGAGATCAAGTTTTGTAGTTAACCGGTCTCAGATTTGAATCCTCCTTCTTTCACTCCCTGTTGTACCCTTGGCAAATTTAAATCTTTTCTGAACCTCGTTTGTCAAATGGGAAACACCTTTATTTACTGTGGTTTTGAAGACTGAATGATACAAAGCATGTTAAGTATGGAGTCATTGCTGTTACGTGCTGTAGAGTTGGTTCTGACTCAACATGGTCCTGTACAGGGTTTCTGAGGAATGACTTGGGAGTTTGAACTGTCGACCTTTCAGTTAACAATCCATCCCTTATCCTTCAGTGCCACAGCAGGACTCCAGCTACTGAGTTGTTGCTAAGTGCCGTCAAGTCGATTTTGACCCATAGTGACCCTGTACAGGGTTTCAGAGGCTGTAAATCTTTACGGGAACATACAGCCTCATCTTTATCTCATGGAACAGCTGGTAGTTCAAACTGCTGACCTTAAGGTTCACAGCCTGATTTGTAACCACTACGCTACCAGAGCTCCTTCTAGCTACTGAGTACATGTTTGTATTTATTTGTCAGCACTGTTATACTGGAATCAATTCTGGAAAGTAGATAGCATTAAATGGCCAACAATTTGTTCAGAAAGCACTGATCAAATGCTGTAGTGCCATAGCAGTGTCCTGAATGTATCTTTAGGCTGCTGCATTGCTCTGGTAACGTAGTGGTTACGAATTGGGCTGTGAACCTTAAGGAAAGCAGTTCAAAACTACCAGCTGTTCTGCAGGAGAAACATGAGGCTTTCTGCTCCTTTAAAGATTTACAGCCTCAGAAACCCTGTACAGGGTCGCTATGAGTCAGTTCCAACTCCCCAGCACATAACCACCACCTCTACCATTGTAAGAAGTAGTCATTGGGAGAAATTAGAGGTGTGGACCCAGTCACAGAGAACTAAAGGGATATGAGAAACAGCTCCTTGTTCCATCATGGATGTAGTTCAATATTTTGTAACTTTAAGGGACCCTGGAATTATTCCTTAAGGACTCTCAGTGGAAGAAACACTTATAAGGTTAGCCTGCCTCCAAAACTGTGAAGAGGCCCAGGGGTTATAGTCCTGTAAAGAATGGATTTTTCAGAATATAAATGGGACCAGAATCTGAATTGAAGTCTTCAATAGCTAATTTATATGCATCTTGAGGGTGCATGCCGGAGGACCTATTCAGGGGTGGCCATTTAGCAAATTCAGAGAAGCTACATTGGAGGAACTGTGCTAGACAAAATCTAGCTTCCCAAACTGTGAGAAAATAAATGTCAGCTTGTTAAAGCCATCCACTTGTGGTATTTCTGTTATAATACCACTAGATAACTAAAACAACAGATTAAAAGAGACAGTGTGAAAATGCTTAAAAACTAAGTACAATGCATATATCATGAATCTATGTGCATAGATAACTATCTTGACTTGAGATTTGTCATAAATAAAGAAAATTCATGTTAGGGAATATAATGATTTTGAATAGTTGTTTTCAATCTCCAAGTTCTAGATAAAAAAAAAAATCAGAAAAATAATAGGATTTCATTCTATAAAAAATTAGCCATATACAATCAATACTCATCCCTCCTGTATCAAATCCCCCCATTCATGTCTGCCTTTCTACCTGCTAATCTGTTAGTGAGGTTCTGTCACTACATTGTTTGTTACAGCTACAAAGAGAGCATTCCAAGAAGAAAAGAGTCTCACAGACCTCCCCTGAATCAACCATCTTCTCCACCCCTCTTCTGTCATTCTGTACGGTGTTGTAGGATGTGTACACACGAGGCTGTTTCATATGTTCTGGCTGAGAGGAGGTCCCATGCAAAATCAGCTTCCAGTTCACAATTCTTCCTTCATTTTGTATTCTTCCAGACTAATGAATAAACACACATGTGGTTTAGTTTATGTTTTGAATAATATAAAATAAACTTATTCAAAATACCCAGAAAAGATTTTCTGATTAAACCAATATAACTACTTTGTGCATTTCATGCTTAGTGCTCTAGATGTTGTTGTTATTGTTGTTAAGTGCTGTTGAGAATGGCTGGTGTTTTGAACTGCTGACCTTGTGGTTCAAACCAAACTTGTAGTCCAGTCTTCATTCTACAGCACCACACCAGGACTCCATAAATAATTCTCTATATAGAAAGTTCTAGTGTGGTGGTGTAGGACAAGCACTGGACCAAAATGTCAGTTTGAACCTCAAGGTCACCTATTCAACTTACCAACCATCTCCTCAGAAACCCTACAAAGGGTCTATATGAGTCAGAACCGACTTGGAGGCACTTAACAACAACCACAACAACATATAGAAAGTGGGTAACTACATGATTTACTCTTACTGTGAACATTGACAATTTATAGGTTCAAGGATTTTAATTGCTTATTAATCAAACATTTAACTCAAAAAGCAGAATTCTCTATGTGAACCTACTTTTGCACATGTTCTTGAAAAGGTTACTGTACCTTCTACAAATAGAATTATGTTTACCAATTATCAACTTATAGAAGCATTTACCAGCACTTACTCATGGAAGCAACAGTCAAGAAATCGAATGAATTATTGCATTAGGCAAATCTGCTGAACAAGACCTTTTAAAAGTGTTCAAGAACAAAGGTGTCAGTTTTAAGACTAAGGTCCAAGCCATGGTATTTTCAATAACCTCATATGCACGTGAAAGTGAATAAGGAAGACCAAAGAAGAATTGATGCATCTGAGTAATGGTGTTGGAGAAGAATATTAAACGTGTTATGATCTGCCAAAAGAACAAACCAATCTGTGTTGGAAGAAGTACAGCCAGA